CAGTACATAAACAACAGAAAATGAACATCATTAAACCATCAGAGTATAAAGATCAAAGAAGAAGAGAAAGAGAAGTCAAATGGCATGAAAAAGTAATGCATGGTCAGTTTTTCAGAGATACGGATGGGATAGTAGACAGGAAGAAATCAGGGTTATGGTTAAAAAACGGAGACTTGAAGAAAAGGACAGAAGCATTGATTATGGCGGCACAAGAGCAAGCAATACGTACGAATTACGTCAAACATCATATCGACAAATCAAGAGACTCGCCGACCTGCAGAATGTGTGGTGAGAAGGGGGAAACAGCGAGCCATATCATATGTGAGTGTGGCAAACTAGCCCAGAAGGAATATAAGCGACGCCACGACAACGTAGCACGGATAGTTCACTGGGAAATATGTAAGAAGTATTACCTACCCGGGGCAGAACAGTGGTACAATCATAAGCCAGAAGGCGTTACTGAAAATGAAAGCATTAAGGTACTGTGGGACTTTAACATAAACACAGATTACGAAATAGAACATAGGCGACCAGACATTGTCGTCGAGCAAAAATCAGAAAAAGAGTGCTTGATCATCGACATAGCCGTGCCAGGAGATACAAGGATAAAACAGAAAGAACAAGAGAAAATCGAAAAGTATCAAGATTTAAAAAGAGAAATCGAAAGGTTATGGTGCCTTCGAAAAGTAAGTGTCATTCCAGTTGTAGTTGGTGCATTGGGATGCGTCACAAAAGAAGCAGAGCAGTACATAGAGAAAATAGGGATCAAGATCAGGACTGAAGTGATACAGAAAACGGCGTTGTTAGGAACTGCAAGAACATTGAGAAAGGTTCTCGAAACCTGAGGCTAGTTGTTCTAGCTTGCTTTCGGGAAGAATTTACCAGGAACTTTTTCCTGTGATAACAAGAGGAAATAATAATAATGATAATAATAATAATAATAATAACAATAATATCAATTAGTACAATAATAACAACAACAACAACAATAACAATAATAATAATAATAATGATAGTAATAATAATAATAATGATAATAATAATAATAATAATGATAATAATAACAATAATAATATAATAATATTGATACTCATTTTTGTCATTGTTATTATTATGAGTATTATCATCAAATTTAGTATCATTATCACTTTTATTTTTTTTTCATTATTAACATTATTGTATCTATTCTTATTAATATAAACATTATTGATGTTATTACTGTTGTCATTATCTAGTAATATCATGATTATCATAATAATTTTTGTTATCATTATCATCATTGTTGTTATAAATATCATAAATATCATTATATTAATATTATCATCATTATCATTATCATTATCAATATATATTACTATTATTGTGGGTTTTTTCCTTATCATTATTATCACTGATAATTCCAGCAATATCAATAATTATAATAATAAAAGATAAAAAAAAAAACAATGAAACAAATAAATAACTACACATAGTTTCATCGCCCCCCCTCCCTCTATCCCCCTCCCCACTCCCCCCCCGTGACGTCATCAAGTAAACAATGCAACAGAAAACGGGAAAAAAAGGTCATTGCCTTCACTGAACATCCGCTCATAGAAAATGGGTGTTTGTTTACCTCACGCTACATGGAAGGGGTAAGGGAAAGGGTGGGGGGGGGGGGGGGGGGGAGGAGAGGGGGAGAGGAAGGGAGGAGAGGGAGGAGTGGGAGGGAGGGAGGAAGGAAGGGGGGAAAGGAAGGGAGAGGGGAAGGAAGGAAGGGAGCGGGGAGAGGAAGGGAGGAGAGGGAGAAGAGGGAGGAAGGAAGGGAGGGAGGGAGGAAAGTAGGAAGGAGGCGAGGGGGAGGGAGGAAGGAAGGGAGGGAGAGAGGAAAGGAGGAAGGAGGCGAGGGGGAGAGAGGGAGGGAGGAGGAAAGGAGGGGGAGAGGTAAGGAGGGAGGGATAAAGGGAGGGAGGAGAAGAGAAGAGAGGAGAGGAAAAGAGGAAGTGAAGGAGAATAAAAAAGAGAGAGAGGAAGGGGGATATATTGAATGAGAGAGGGAGAGAGAGAAAAAGAGAGAGACAGAGAGAGAAAAAAAGAGAGGGACAGAGAGAGAGAAAAAGAGAGAGACAGAGCGAGAGCGAGAGCGAGATTGAGAGTGAGAGAAAAAGAGAAAAAAAGTGAAAAACAGAGATAGATAAATAGAAAGACAGAAAGAGAGAAATAAAGAAAGAGAAAAGAGATTTTGTTAAGTACAGAAATGTGAACACAGACAAAGAAAATGAAAATAAAGACACCTACAGACATAGAAAAAAAAGAGACGAGAAGGAAAATATGGCCAATGTACTCAAACAAACAAACAAACATGCAAACAAGATAAACAGCTGCAACAGATACGCATAAAAAACGATTGACAATAATACAAACAAACAAACAGAGATGGTTTATTATATCCCTCCTCGCGCATAATCATAAAATGAGAGAAAAAAATATATACATAATGACAATTCATGAATGTTCTCCCGCC